CAGATTTCTTTTACAGCTGATCAGTCCTTTTAAATCCATTAAATGGCGCAGTATAATTAATATTATAAAGTAGTAGTCATACAAAGAATAGATCAGTAAAGTTAATGTAATGGCGAATTCACTTAGCTAACAGATTTAATCAAGCATTAACTTTCTAAACAATCATTGAATAACGCGATCCCTGTTTTTAAAAATTGTAAAGTGGATTAGATGTCCCAAAGATGCGCTAGTACTTTTGATAATTCTTATATTATCATCATCAGGCATGAATATTTTTTTTCATTTTCAGATAACTTCAGGTAACTTCCAAGACGAAAATAAATGCAATATAGATCGTAAGATTTTTTTAAGAGTGTGTTATTAACGCTTACATAATTTCTCACCTAAAATATTCAAAATACAACTCTAGAGTTGTGACACTGAACGCTCCAAAATTATAATTATAAATATAATATGCAAACGATAAAATACTATGTTTAGTTAAAATCAGCCCAGGTATTTCAAAGAAGATGAAAACTGTAAACGGTAATATTGCTACTGACCTTCTCTGCAGTGATTGAGCTGATTTTAAACTAGATTTAGTGCATTATTGTTACGTATCATTTTCAGGATTATGGAACAGTGTTTTAAAGATATGCAGGCTATCTTTCTGAATTGGTTTCAACATAAGTCGATAAGAGAACATAATGAATTAATTAACTGAAAAATCAATAAACGCTTAGTAAATTTAACCTCTATAACCCATGGCAATCTGAGATATGACAGAATATTTTTCGGGGTATCTTTCTCTTTCTGATTTTAAATATCTCAGATAAATGCACCTTGATAAAGAAATTACCCTCTGCCCTGTTCCATCGCCAGTTGCCGCGACAAAATATCAAATTACTAGCTCACTACAATGAAAACACTGCCAAACTCTTTATAAGAGCAAGGTCAGGTCAAAAATTAAGTATTGCTGCCATATTTGGGCAGGGGCTGCTCAGTCCAGTCCTCTCTTACCTGTCTTGATAGAGTTCAAAAGCTTCTAGGCGGCTTTATTTTCAACCATGCAAATCCTTTCAAACAGACGAAAGGTCGCAACTCACTCACTGCTCTGTCGCTATTTCCATATCATGGGGGTTCTGACGATCTGCATTCCGTAGTCCCAACGGCTCTAGCCTTTACAATTGGGACCTAGTATGCCGCGTACACAATCGTGAATCATCCACATTCCCTTCGTATTCCATTAGTAATAAGTAAATTCCACTCGAACAGCTTCTTCCTACGAACAGATGCTTTGTGGAACAGACTTCCGGCAGGATGTTTTCCCTATCACTATAATCTTGACCTTTTCAAGTCTAGGGTTAACTTTCCTGCTTAACCCCATGGACTTGTTTTGTCTTACATTCAAACAACACCAGAGTAATCCTCTAACGTCTAGTGGTTCTTCGGCTTTGTACCGGGTGAACTTTAGTATAAAAAAAAAGATTAAGGAGCACTTTTACAAGTCGCTCTTGCCTATCTGCCTTCACAATTGAAAGCAGTTACCCAGATAATCAATCTTGGTAGTGTTTGGTCTTTATAGCCTATTCGTATGTCAGTGACAGTTGGACTAGGACTTAGGCAGTAGTGTACAACACTGAGGTATTGGGTTATCAGGATAAATTCCTTCTTTTTTTTTCGGTTTTATTAGAACAAACATACAAAATATTTGTGTTGCCCTAGTGTTTTATTTTAAATTTTTGGAGCACTATTCTTCCTCTACAGCTTTTGTTTAAAGTTTTGATTGAATTTTATCTCTTTTCAAACGATGGAGTGCCAAGTTGACAAAAATTAGCATTTTCGACAACATTCGCCCCGACGTCATTAATTTAACCAAAAATGTGCTTCGATCAACAACGAGGTGGTGTCGAAAACGAGGCTCGGTGAATTTTCCGAGTCAAGACTCAGTGATGCCATCTCGACATTGACAAGTTAGGGAAATGTTAACAAGAATTCATGGACAATGAAGGAGACTATATTATTGGTTGATTTCTTCAAATTTTGTTATGAATAACAGGGTTAAAATAAATGGGAAAAAAACGAATGAATTTATGTGAAACCCAATATTTTTCACAGTCGTGTAAACTTTTCAAGAGAATAATCACTAACATCAACAAAATGAAAAAAAAAAAAATTAAAAAAGAAAAAAGCTGACATTGGTTGACAGGGTTTATAAGCAACTTGATAGGTTGATATTCCAGACCGTTACTCAAGGGAATTCTACTCAAGGCATATAATCCTTTTCTATGCGACAAATTATACTCAACAAAGGTATGCGGACTATATTTTTGGAATGGCATATTTTAGTTGAGTTTTATGTGTATATTCTTTTCTGTTGCTGTCTTTCTCTCTATTTCGCACAATTCGAATTCCAAATAAAATGGAATATTTTTAATTTGCGAACATTAAGAAAATCCTATTTAAAATCAGACACCAATGCTCAGATTTACGTAAATAAAATAAATTCTGATGGGTACCAAAGGTGTGTCAGATCAAAGGATATGTTCAAAGTATGCTTCAAGTTAGCAATTTAGGGATTTGGTTCAATCACGGTTTGGTTGATTCATGCCTCCTACATTTCCTTCACAAACCAGATAATAGCTGTTCAGCGACCCGAAGCAAACTGCGTAAATAACTTTTCTGCACATCACCTCCGCTTTAACCAAAACAAAAATAATAATATATTATGACCAGTCATAACTACTCCCGCTCAAAAACCCAAATTCTTAATTTCGAGGCGACTAAAAACTATATATACCCTAATTCAAACTGACCCTACACGGATCAGCGTTTGATGTCGACTTCGACACGCTGAAAGAGAAACGCCATATATGTAAATAAATTATACATTTATTTACTCATAATCAATGCCCTCTTTTGTTTGATGATTGGATTTACGTTTGCTGTGCAACAACAACAACAAGGTTCTGCCTTCAATTTACCCATTTTCGACTACGCAACAAGCCTCTAGCTTATTTATAAGTCTACCTTTCGTTGAGATATTGAATATTGCCGTCACATCTACTCAGATGCTTCTGCTCTGCATTTAGAGATTCTTGATAGAATACAAAGAATAGTCTGCAGTGTTATTGGTCCTGACCTGGCATCTCGGATTCAGTCGCTTTCCCACCTCCGTAACGCATCTTACTTATGCTTTTTCTATAAATATGTTCCTGGTAATTGTTCTGACGAGCTTTGTTACCTAGACTTTACGAATTTAAGCGCAGTACTAGATTGGCGTTAAGGTCTCATCATTTCACAGTTGAAATGACTAGACGTAACCGTAAGTTCTATGGTAGCATTTTCTTCTCTCGCACTTATCACTTGTAGGACTCCCTTCCGACTTCTTGCTCTCCAGTTAATTTTGATCTTCAAAAATTTAAATGCAGTATCAGTCTGTCTTCTTAATTCTTGTTCTTTTATTGTTCGATCTGCTTAATAACGTTTTCTTTCCTCATATTATCCAACACTCAGTAACCGATAGAAATCCCAGATTACTCATGCAGGAAACAAAACATATGTAAATGAAAAATTATACCCAGAAGGTTTTTCAATGAATGTCTTTTTTGCAACGATGGTATTATGAAGTTAACCAAAAGATTGTATATGACAGTGGAACAAAAAGGCAAATATATTGTTCAATAAAATTCATATAAAAAAGCGACTAAGATGACCGTGTTGGTGTAGGTAATATTCATCACTTGATTTGGAGTCACTTCTTTTCATCTTTGATTGTTATAGATGTTGACTAGCAGCATGGCCCGGCATTGCCCGTACTTGATTCAAAAATCGTACGACTCATACAGTAAACGTTATCACTTGAATTAAAATATTTTTGCCCTTCCTTGCCTTTAAAGGAGTGCCCTTTGCCGTGCTGATGTTGCTACATGCCTTACTTCTTGCCTATCTCACACTGCGAATTTTTTTCTAAGCTCTATACTAAACATTAAATCTGTTCCGAAAAAAGAACTAAACAAAATGAACACAAAACGATCAGCTTTAAAAAAGGACTCGTAACTGAAAAAAACGAATGAAAAAAGAATGTTAACAGCAAATACTTTTTCACACCCAACCCAGTTCTGCGGAATCAGAATCAACGTTGAGTTTAAGCAAGAGAATGAGCCAATTGTAGTAAAGTGCCATGCAGATTTAAATTTTTCCCACTTGTGACGAATGCAGCTATCGATTTTTTTTGCATGCTAGCATGCTAGTTAACATTCGTGTCAGTCAGCTGTTGGCTCTCACGCTGGCCAATAGAATCTTCCAGCCTTTTCGTGGCAGCCAGCTATAGACTCTCACTCTGGCCAGTAGAAAATGGCCGCAAACTACATGAAAACTGCCGTAGAAGCATGAAAAAGTCGATTATTACTACTATCGATGGGAGTTGGGAAATGCAAAGTCGGTCTTGGCCTTTGTGCTAACTTGGAGCATTTGCATGTAAATTTTGGTGCAAATCCGTCGAAAATTGCAGTCGTGCATTCGTTACACACACACACACACACACACACACACACACACACACACACACACACACACACACACACACACACACACACATCCTGCCTTTTATAGATAGAGATTATAGGATATGACGTTTCTATTCTATAGATGAGTAATTATTAATACGCTATGAGTTATTCGAAATGTTACTCTCATCTTACGTTGGATTTAGATTGGGAAGGTGGCGTAGTTGATATTAGCGTTGGATACTCAAGTGTTAGTCAAGTGTTAGTCAAGTGTTAGTCAAGTGTTGCTGTCATGTAATGGTAGTTAGTTCAGTTTTCTTTACACCTTAAATCAAATTCTGTGCCAAGATGAAAAGGGTTTCCGAACATCTCACTTTCGATGCTCAACGCGATTTGGCACAAATTCTTTCTTACTGTTGGGCACTGCTTTCTTCCGGTAGGTTGTTGCTGCAGACATTACACCTCAATTTTGATTTGCGCGATGTTCTTTCTACCTCGGACAACAGAAATTATTTACATAGATAGTAAGATTATTGTGCACAGGTGTACGCAGAGGGAAATAAAATGTGGGAATATAGATAGATAGATAGATAGATAGATAGATAGATAGATAGATAGATAGATAGATAGATAGAACACAAAAGAATATATATGAACAGAATGAGATAGATGAAAGAGATAGATATAGATAGATGAACACAATAGATAGAAATAAATGAGATAAATATGAACAGATGAATGAGATAGATAGATAGATAGATAGATAGATAGATAGATAGATAGATAGATATGAAAAAATGAGATAGAGGAATAGATAGATATGAACAGAATGAGAAAAATATATAGATATGAACAGAATAAGATAGATAGATAGATAGATAGATATGAACAGAATGAGATAAATATGAAAATGAGATAGATAGATAGATAGATAGATAGATAGATAGATAGATAGATAGATATGAAAAGAATGAGATAATTAGAGACATAGATGTGAAAAAAATGAGATAGATAGATATGAACAGAATGAGATAAATATATACATATGAAAAGAATGAGAGATAGATATGAACAGAATGAGATAGATAGATAGATAGATAGATAGATATAAACACAATTAGATAGATAGATAGATAGATAGATAGATAGATAGATAGATAGATATGAAAAGAAAGAGATAATTAGAGAAATGGATAGATATGAAAAGAATGAGATAGATATGAACAGAATGAAATAAATATAGATAGATAGATAGAAATAGATAGATAGATAGATATATCTACACAGAAGATAGATAGATAGATAGATAGATAGATAGATAGAAAGATAGATATGAAAAAAGAATGAGATAGAACAGAATGGATAGATATATCTGAACAGAATGAGATAGATAGATAGAGAATTAGATAGATAGATGGATACATATGATGAGAATGAGATAGATATGAAAATAATTAGATAGATAGATAGATAGAAGTAATTAGGTTGATAGCATGTCATTGACAAATACAAAGTAACATAAATCATTGCTTATGCGAACTTAGCTCGGCAATTTGACTTAAACCTGCATTCAAACTGGTCGCGAATTCTTTCTGACATGAGACCTGCAAATAACAGATTTGCCTTTGAATTGACGTCATCTGAAACATTACTAAAACGTTGAAATGTTAAAAGAAAAACAAAGAAATTTAAAAAAGAAAAGAAAGTAATGAAAATGAAAGAAAATAAAGAAGAGGAAATACATAAATAAAAAGTAGCTGGCTTTCATTCAGTAAAGTCTGGTGATTTCTTTTCAGTTTTTTTTTTTTTTTTTTTTTGCCATTTCTATATAGACAGCGTTTGCATTTATTAGGATTTCCATATTTGAATTAGATGTAAGAGAAAAACATTGGGTAATATAAAACATGGCGGAAGAGTTACTAATTTATTTTATTCAGACAGGGGTTCACAGCTACGACCCGCCAAACCACATACACTGAATCGTTTCATCTTCATTCCCTTCATATTCTGTTGATAAAGAAGTTCCACTCTGACAGTTTCTTTCCCAGAACTTTCGCAATATGAAACAAACTTCTGATGCTTCCCCGATCACTACAATTCTAACTACATCAAAGCTAGGGACAACCGTTATTTATCTTACATCCCCACTTGATATTCCATTCTTATTATATTGATAGGAAAGAAGTTCTGCCCAGATAACTGTTATGGGGTCCACCCCCTTTTTCATACAAGTGGACTCGACCAGTGTGTACTTGTACTGCTGCCGGGGAATGCCCGGGTGTTAGACGGGAGATACACTGATACAGTGAGAAAGTGAGGTAACCGCCTTGTAGGAGTCGCAGTTGCGAGCACGTAGACTCAGAAGGAAGTCCTACTTCGATACTGAATTTCCCAGACTATATATATATTATTGCTACTAACCGCATTTCTGGATCTACTAACCGTATTACCAATTGTATTATTAAGTCAATACATTTATTTGCTATATTTCATTCCTGCGTTTGTCATTCATTTGAGACCGGATTTCATCCCGGAATCCACAACAATAACAACTACTCCAGAGCTCTTAATTTGTGTCACAAGCACCTAAGAAGATGCTTTCTCCATTACTACATTTTTAACATTTTCAATCTAGGGTCAGCCGTTATCTATGCTATATATCCTCGTAATATGTACCTCTTGGACCTCGTATTGAGTTTTGTAATCTCAAACGAACACTTACTTGACACTTTGTTAGAGGCGACATAGTAGAGACTTTGTAATCGCAGATACAACTATAATGCGCCATTGAACAATACTGGTGGTGTGAAACGCCTTCAAATAGTGCTTGTACGAATAATACTCCGTAGAGTGAATAGAGTAGAGAATAGCGTTCTCAGTAATAATAGAAATAGAGAAGAAATGGTGATCCGTATAGTATAGAGGATAGACTAGAGATAGACGTCACGCAACCTTCGTCTATATATACGTTTCCGCTATGATCAAGTGATCTACTTAGTTCAATAATGAGATTGCCTGTGTTTGCTCACTGATGATCTATGTTCAGACACAAGTGTCGACAGAGACATTTCATTCCTATAATAACATGGGTGAGGAACAATAAGAACAAAAGGAATTGCAAGGATTTAATGTCTTCTCTTCAGTCGTCACAAAATCAACAATTGCGTATATTTTACAATATTTTACAAATATATTCATGTATGTCCGGAACTGAACATAAATACTAGTACAATCATCGGTCTATATACAATGTATACACACACACACACACTCACACACGGAGAGAGAGAGAGAGAGAGAGAGAGAGAGAGAGAGGTGGGAGAGAAAAGTTCTCGGCCCGATCAAGTAGGGAATGAATTTGAACTATGAAACAGACTTTCTATTCTGTATATTTACCCGGCGGTTCTCCACACTTGATGCATCATTTCCCAAGTGCTGGGAAATCTGTCCTGGCTTTCCCACATCCAAGGGTTAAGGTTAAAAAAAATTGCGACATAACGCGAGTAAAAAACAAGATTAGAGCGGACAAACCCTCTCTTTTAGGCGCGGACGAATAAAGAAAAAACTCCTGCTCGGTGTGTAACAGTAAAAGATGAAAGTGTTTATTTACATATACAGAAAAAAAAGGGTAAAGGGATAAAGACAATTAAGAGTGAAAGAAAGGGAAAAGAGAAAAAAGGCCTGCTCAAAATATTTCTCTGAGCGCCTAAAAAGTTCTTTAAGCGAGTAGAATTTTGTTAAGGTTTAGAAACACTCACAGTTCTTGTAGAGTAGGAAAATTGTTGGTAGATATAGGAATCTTGCAGTTGAGTGAGTTCGTAGGTCGACGATAGAAGTCCAGTGGGCTCGTCAGAAGGAGTGGTGAAGGGATGCAGCTTTGAATTGGTCTTGAATTGTGGGCCGACGTTCGTTCTCGACAGACCTTTAGTAGGTAGCTCTTGAAAGTTGTTCTGAAGTTGACTGGAGCTCCTTATCGTCGACCTCACAGACGAAGGTCTGAATTCTCACTGCCAAATAGGCAAAGATTCTCCAATTTTATCAAGATTTTTTTTTTATCCAACTCTGATGGATCGGTGACTTTTCCCTCAAAAATCGTTGTACAAATTCCCTGGCCCCTCTATTGGTCAGAAAACACATTCTTATTTCTGATAAGAATCAGGGCTCTGTGAGCCGGTTTTGAAAGTAATGAAAACAGGTTGGAGTGAACAAGCTGTGAGGTTTCCCCCAGACTTTATGGCACAATGGAAAGAATAATGGTAGTGAAATTCCTTTTTATATTTTCCAGCTCTCTCGTTAGTCAGAAAATATATTCTTATCTTTGATAAGAATCAAGACTTTGGGAGCCGGTTTTGCAAGTAAACAGAGGTTGGAGTGAGGATAGAAAAATGTGCACTTGTAAAATATTGTTCTCAAATTAAATTCAATGCAAGTCTATTTATCCTTTCTAAAAATATTCAGAGACTGAGTCATTGAAATTCCGATTTTGGAAAGTAGACCGTCCCGAGAGCTTTACAGTACTACCTTGTATATAAATAATTATTTTATCGTGTTCGATAGATAGAAATATGTGTATGGAGAGAAAAGGAAAAAAAAAACAAATAAAAAGCAAGACACTGTGATAGGTAGATAAGGAGAGAAGAATAGGACTGATATATATATATATATATATATATATATATATATATATATATTGGTTGATTGATGTGAGTTTGTGACCCTGCGTTTCACGCTTTTGCGATCGTCAGACAAACTGATTAATTTTTTTAAAATTTAGGTTTATGTAGATTGTGTGTATTGGTGTTATTATGGGAGTGGGGGGGGAATCGTCGTCGTGATGTCATCGTGCTAACGCAAACATAGATGAATGTCCGTACATCAGATGAGGTACGCAGACACACATACACATTTGCTTGTCCGTCGGGACTCATACATATATAAACATATGCGGACAGTTTCGGATATGACATATGTATGTATATGGGTGGTGTTGTGTCTATACATACGCATTTGTATGTTGAAATTCAAAGATTGGAAGTGTAGGGAAAATTTCTCGTGAATGTATACATGTATATATATATATATATATCACGTCACACACTACGAAATGGACTAAGTTCGACAATTATTTTGATATATATTGCTATTTATATAGACACAAATATTTAAGTAAATGCTCTGTTTATAATAAGCAGTATTAACAGCATATACCGGCTTGAACGTCCGAGAAATTTCCATAGAAATCATTCGTCCTTCGACAGGAATACGAATCTGTATCCTACATGGAACCGTCATATAGCCTGACGTGCGATACCAGTTTAGCTACAGAGGAGCGACAGGTTAGCAAAGTCGATTTTACTGCTTTTCAACTATAAACTTCCATGATTTCCCTCGCTCATTCATATCTGCTCGAAGCGTATAAAAAACATATACATATATATATATATATATATATATATATATATATATATATATATATATATATATATGAAGAGACTGTGATAGATACAGATGTGAAAATGAGATAGAGATAGATAGAAGAACAGACGATGACAGACAGACAGATATAAAATGATCAAGATAACTACTAACTCCGAAAGAGAGATAGTTAAGAGAAAAATATATATATATATATATATATATATATATATATATATATATATATATATATAATTGGGTCAACACACAGTGGCGACAGTCTGTTTCATGCTTAATTACATACACTGTATCCTTTTATATTGATATATTTTATAGTACATACATATATATATATATATATATATATATATATATATATTGTTAGAGGGAAATTAGTTGGAGGCCCAGTACGAGGTCTTTCTGTTTACCAGCTAACCGAACCTCACTCAACAGAGCTAAATTGAGGTTAATAAATTAAGTAGAATTATCACTAAAACGGGATTGACAATATGCAGGCTGGGGGTATAGATGAACAGACTGTGACAGATGCAGAAAGGACGAAATATAGATGGATGAACAGTCGATGACCGATATAATTATCTCGATAAAAAAGATAAAAAGAATAAATATATATATATATATATATATAATATATATATATATATATATATATATATATATATATATATATATATATATATATATGTAGTGGACTACCCGTCGTTTTTTTACGTATGAGTGTCATTCAGTTCAGGGACAGGAAAAAAGGCTTGACCGTCCCATGGATTGATCTTCTGGCCCGAAATTTAGTGTTGCTTCTTAATTTTCTCAAATGGTTGAGACGATTCTTTTCAAAGTTAATTATACCTTAGTGGCTGGTTTCTCCAATTTGCTAGGTTTTCAACAGCGAGGTCGACTTCCTCTATAGGGATATTTGCAGCATTTAAATTATATCTGAGTTTGTCCTTGAAGCGTAACCAAGAACGGCCTACATTACGCTTACCATAAAAAATTGGCTATACATGAGGATTTTCGGCATCCGATCATCACTCATTCTGATGACATGACCAGCCCATCTGAACTGTGATTGCCTCAGACAGGATTTGATACCA